GTGCTGCAGCTGCTGTTGCTGCATCTGATGGTGCTGGAGGTGCTGGTGCATCTGCTGCTGCTGTTGCTGTTGCTGAAGCTGCTGCATCACATGTTGCTGCACCGGCTGCATGGGCGGGCTCATCTGAGACACTGCGGTTGACTGGGCACCTGCCACCATGGCCCCTCCGGGACCAATCTGGCCAAGCAACTGCTGCGGCATCCCGGAGGACATGTTCTGGTGGGAAACTGTGACTGAGGTCACGATCTGACTGCCCCCTAGTCTCATCTGCAGAGGTTTTGGGGCAATGGCCCGTGGTAGGGCTTGTTGGAGGGCCTGGGAAGCTGATGGCAGTGAGGGGTGCTGGTTGAGGGGCGAAGGCAGCACCAGGCCTGGTGAAAGGCTGGTGGAGGCCAGGGTCTGCTGCACGGAGCGTATAGTCTGGGCCTCAGCCGATTCTGCTGCAGCCTGGATGGAAAAAAAAATAATCTAAAATTAAGTACACAACTTTACAAATGTAGTTACTTCATCTATAGTTATACTGCACATTTTCTAGACTTCAAATTGCTTACAGAAGTTTGCATATTATATTACAAAGACTTCTGAGAAATTTTATTTAGGTTTCTGTTAAGTTCACGCTTTTTTTGGTGAAAAGAAGAAACAGTTTCTCACCTTGGAAACCAGGCTAGCACGGTATGCTGCGAGGGCTTTTAAATATTCTTTCTTGGCAGCTTCTGTTTTGCTTTTGTAAACCTGCGATGAGACAGTGGCATGTGTGAATGGACAAATGAAGCTTCTTTTTATTTAGAGATAATTCCTCCTAGGCAACATACCTTAACACACAGACACGATACTACCACACTTTATTTGATCAACATACACATAGCTACAATTTGTAGTACCTGCTTCTGCTCCTCGCCCAGACCATCCCACATGGAGGCCACAATCTTGGACACTTCTCCGAAAGTGGCATTGGGATTCTGACCTTTGATGGCAGCCTGGGTGTCTCTAAAGAACAGGGCATAAGCTGACACTGGCTTCTGAGGCTCATTGGGATCCTTCTTCTTCTTCTTCTTAGGAGTCTTGGGTTTTTTTGTGGGATCTATGGGAGCTGGTCGTTTCTCTCCAGTGACCTACAGTAATGGCAATTATTGAGATCAAGAAGTTTACAAAAAATGCCCTTTACATCAGCTTGTTAATTTCCTACAATTAGCATACACTTAAGTCCTTTTCCTCACCCTGTTGCCATCATCCTGCTCATCTTCATTTATAGAGCTGGAGGGGGAAGGTGTGGCAGACTTGCTGGCAGGTGGAGAAGGGGAAGTATGGGTGATGTTGGGTCCTGCCATGTTTAGGCTCAGCTGTGCATTGAGTTGGGATTGGTTGATGGTGGTCAGCTGATTCCGAGACATCATCCCATTGGGGCTGTTCATGCTGATGATGGACTTCATCACCACAGTTGGGTTGGGTGGGTACTGGCGAAGATGGCCTGGGACCACATTCTGTCACATAAAAGCAAAGAGAAGGGTTGGTAAGAAAGAAGTAATATAACATTTAATGTAAGACTTTACTGACTCATGTTCTTCTGCTTTTACACTAATGCACAGATTTCCAATTTATTTCTCAATTCTCTTCATATTTCTATACTCCCTGTGACACCCTGCTGCTGAGTATATGGGCAGCTCATGAAGATGTATCTTTTTACTATTGCAAGAGAGAAATCAGGTCATTGGATTCTGTGGATTGTTATGCAGCAGATCACATGTCATGATGTCTTGGGTCTTCAATGTCCTTATTCCAGGCCATGATAAATAATCTTGATACCTGAGGAACCAACTTTCTAACAAAGTAATAGCTGGTTACACAGCTCATTTGATTTATTTCAAAGCTCTGTGACACAGCTACTGACTGTCTGGTCCCGGGAGGGCAACAGTGGACTCGGCTCCCCGCATTGTGGCACATAACTTTAAATGCCACAGTAAAGGTATGTTTACATTACAACGGAAAAACGAGGGCCTTGTGCTGTGCATTCCGCCAAACTTTATGTAGAAATCCCAAGGGTACCGTACAAAATGGCGCAGCTACAATACTAATGTTACTTAATGTTACTAGCAGTAGATCACTAATGTTACGTTTTAGAGGATTTGTGTTTTTTTAAACAGTCTTGGTAGTGCCACTCGTCTGCTGATATATCCCTAGCTAAATAAGTTGTGTTTCTTTAACTGATATCAACATGAGGATCATAGTACTGTACAGTTTGGGAAAATTCTGTAACGTTGGTTACAAACTGTAACCTGGGGTTCTATGAGTGTGGCTGCACGAACAGATGTCAGTGCAGCCAGGGTAAACGTTCAACAGATTTGAACATTAGGTGCACCCTCGCTCTGTGCTGCACACCATGGATGTCTGTGCAAAACCTGCGCAGTGCACCACATACAATGGCGAGGCATGCGCAAAAGCCAGTTTTCCTCTTTATTGTGAACATGCACACTTCTTTCTGTGCTTAAGCCTCCGTTTGTATGCGTGCACCTACAATACATGTCAGTTTGGTTTGAGGTGGCCACAAGCCTATATGCCTTAGTGTAAGGGAACTTTAAGGTTATAACTCTGTGCAAAGAAGTACCTTTGATAGTTCATGTTAAAAGAGTGGAAAATAAAATTCTATATATTATTGGCTTCTCCATAAATCAACCAGCTGAAGGTATGAGCCGTAAGAGCTTTGGACAGGTCCCTTGCCTTCTACCATCCGGAGTAAAGAATAATAATAATATTTTCAAAATTTCCTTCAATTTTTTTTTCTGCTAAAACATTCAATTCTTGTTTGCATTGATTGTGGTAAGGATGAAATTACGAGGACTGTCAGTTCCCCAGAGGAAAGACTGATCAAAGAGCCAGCAGAGCTGACATGGAACAGAGGGGACATGAACAGAACAGAAAAGGTGATTTGTTCTCCCTGGGTACATCCATCTGGTATTCAGCAACACAAACTCAATCTCTCCTAACATCAACACATCATAAACCCATGCACCTGGCTTTATTGAAAGAACCTTATGAAAGCCAGTCTTCAAAAACAATATTCTAACACCAATTCAGACAGAAACATATTGGATCTACAATCCATTTCTTTCTCATATGCCATGCCTACTGCTTATCATAAATACAATCTATGAAGTGTGAGCGGATTTATATTTACATGTGTGAGGAAGATTCTGCAAAAACTGAGGCAAAGATGGGGAAGAAATTAAAGACATGTTGCTGTGATTCTTCAAATATGGAAGCTTTCAGTTTTCTTGCAAATAAAAGCTGCAATAAACAAGCCTGTGACCAAATGGCTGTGATTTACATATCTGTAACACGCCATGTTCCAAGTGCTATTGTCATCTTCATTACAGACAACATGATGGCTCGCAGTTTGCTCTCTGCTCACTGGAAACATCAAAGACGCACACAGTGAGCTCATTAGTCATGGCCATCTGTATAATAGCACTTTTTGCCCAATCCTGATGATGCAATTTTGACTTAGAGCAATGGCCCATTCTGCCATTTGTATGGAATATGGTTATTTCTTCTAAATGGCCTTTGGATATTGTAAATCAAAAAAAAAAAAAAAGTACTGATGGCAACAGTTAATCATATCACATTCAACACATTTTATAGCATATTATAGCAATAACTGGGCTAGCAGCAATTTTGCTGTTCGTTTCATATTAGAAAAGAGTGATGACAATGTTGTCAGTGAAAATACCAGCATTAGCATGTCTGATTTGAATGAAAAGATAACACACTAGTGAAAGAAATTATTTTAAGTAACAGTTGCCTTGATTGTAAATATGAATCTGGCACGTGAATGTTTATTTATGTCTCTATTCCTTCTCATTTGCATTTTGATTGCAGTATTGTCAGCAGTCACAGCAGACATCTAAATAGATATTTTGATAGTCATCGTAAATCTGCATACAAGTCCTTATTTTGAGTACACTGTGGCCAGATGTGGCCTCTTTAGTCAGGTTTGTGTGTTTGTCTAGATGTGTTGTGTTTGCATGTCAAGCACTAACAAGCAAAAATCCACTCTCTGATCAATAAAGGGTTTTTTATGTAAATTCAGTTTGTAATATTCCCTAATGTGTTGCTTTTAATATGACAGATAAAATAGCTGGCAACAACATAATGCTGTCAACAATATGTGACAAAAAAGAAGCTGCTTGTTTTGTACATTATCGTTTGCTTCATCCACTTTTAACTCAGCAAACACTCCACATGCAGCAACATAAAGTATTGTGAAAACCAGCAGATGAGGAAAAAAATACACTATTGACAATGTGTCAAAACTTTTCCACAATAAACACAGCAGCTGGACTCAGAATGCACCATTGTGCATTCACCAAGTGATAAAAATCTCAACACTGATGTCAATGAAAGCAGGCTCCAGCCTGTTCATAAAGATATTTCAAATCAAAATTTGGGGAGAATTGATGAACAGTTGCACCATGCACTAAGCTGTAACAGGCTGAAAAGAATGTTAACAAGTTCAATTTCCATTCAATCAATGCCAGAGCCCTTGGAAATGTTCCATGGCAGGAGAGGGGTAAAATCATCTATATGGTAATTATAAGGATGAATCCCCCAGTAACTTTCTCCAGCATGAAAGGTCAGTCTTATTAAAGATAGTTTATCAGCGCTCTGCACATATTCCTTTACTCGGCTTCTATATGGGCACATCATTTTATTTTTCTTCCTCCATTTTCTGCATCCTG